TTTAAAAAAATGTGAATCGTACTTTGTACAAGTCTCCGAAATGTTACTGTGCTTACAGATTTATTTTTGTTTTCAGGTTTCTTCAAACTCTAAGCCTGAGCGGAAACTGAAAAGACACTTCAGGAAGCTGCGCAAGACTGTTTTAAAGGAAATGGTGAGACTATATTATACTGGGTGGGGGGTCCCAGTGACCATTTACATTGCACTCATGTAGACTGTCCTGATATCTGTCTTGGACATTTGGTTCCCAATGGCATATTCATTGTCGTGATGACTGAGTCCATCCATCTTGCTGTTGGTGGTACTCTTCTTCTGTAGTTTTAGCGTTAACAATGCACTGGGTCAACAAAATGTCGATGGTGGCACAGTTGCTAATTGTCTGACCGATAAATTGTTGTTGAGACCACTAAAGCTTTAATATTTTGCAGTTCTGGTTTTGGCCCATTTTTCGTCCAGCAGTGTGTGTAGTTTGGGTCACAGATAAAGAAAATGTTTTCCTCTCTTACAAGATGCAGTTCCATTTGAATTACGCCCTTAAACCGTATTCTTACTTTTATTTTCAGAAGTACAGCGCACAGTCTTGGGAACTCGTAAGAAAAGCAGTGGAAAGCCACCTGGAACATCTAGACCTTCTTGCTTCTTCAATCAAAATGTGAGGAAAACCTCAGAGGGCATTAAAACAATTGCAAAGCGATCAAGATATAAACTGATGTATTCATGAATGATATAAAAGAATTTTATTTTGGTTATTGATTGTTCTCCACAACGCTGTGCTGGACAAGGCGCTGGAAGATTTATTTATTTATTTATTTATTTATTTATTTATTTATTTATTTATCAATATATTTAATGAAATACTGTTTTTTGATAATGCAGATTGTTCATACTGTTTTTTACTTTTTGTATTTTAACAGTTCCTGAAATAAATTGTCTTCAGTGATGCCTCGTATTTCAGTGAAATTTACTTAAATTGCTAATATGTGTTATGACATTCCTAATACATAGTAAACACATTTATAAAGGTTCGTTTTTTTTAATCAAGTAATAGCTAACTTCTAATTAACAGAAAAACAGAAATGAAGGTGTATATATAGTAAATGCTTTGCAGGCACAGTAGCAGAGACCAGTGTTAATGCAAATGCCACACAGCTAAAGCATGGAAGCAAGACCAAGAATGAACAAATGGTGTGATTTTGATTTACACCCTGGTCCATATTATGATTGTGGAAGAAATTGTATGATTTATTTTGCGTGTGCAATTTTGCAACAATTGCCAGCAAAAGAACTGTTGATTAACAAACTAGCCTTCGCCAGTCACCACTGAAATAAGGTGGTATAGCAATTCGTAAAAGAGTCAAGTTTATATTCTGGGACAACTACACCCTCTCGATGATTTTGGTTCATTGCAATATTATTCAAGGTAAATATTACATATTCAGGATGTATTATTTTCGTATGACAGATGTTTGGAACAATGCAAGCCAGACCAGTGCAATAATGATAATACGCATATAATTTATTATATTGAAATTATTTATTTGGCAGATGCTTGTATACAAAACAATTTACAATACTGTAAGGGAACGGAACCCCAGCCTCGTGGCAGGCAAGAATTGGCCCATTGAACAAGCAAATGAACTAATAATAACAATAATAACCAATTTCATATTTTGCCATATCAATAGACATGGACTTACATCATGTCCAAACATTCGAGGATCGCCCCTCGCCATTTCCAGAGCCACTTTCCATAATGTCCTTCAATTGTAGGTTATTTGTCTTTGGAGGAAATAAGACATCTTACAATTTAGATTTTTTCAAATTTATTCTTATTTTAATTTCACAGCATGTCCTCTTTAGTGCACAACAAGAATAAATACGTTTCCCAACATCAGTGAAAAAATAAATGCAAAAATACAATGTCCACTACAATGGACATAAATGAATAGGTCGGGTCTCAGGAGGATATAGCAGTCATTCTCTCCAACTGCCAAAGAACCTCACGATGCCCAGACGTTGATTCTCACTGTTACTGTTACTGTACTATGGTAATTCGTATTCACTGTATTACATACCAAGAAACACATATAATATAGTTCGCTTACAAAAAAGTAACTGTATTGTAAACATTGAACTCCGATCGTTACACTTGTACTGGATCTGGTGATGGGATCTGAGAATTCCACCTAAGCAACTCGCAGAAATCAGTAATTATGAGGTTGCATTTCTTCTCCATTTCAAATAAAGACACAACTTAATATGAAGTTTTATTTCTGGTGAACATGTGTTTTGATAAACACGTTTCCTTCAGTTTTTGCCATTGAAACACTTATATTGGTAAATAGTCAACTGGTTTGATGCATGTGGCTGTTAAACTGCTAAAATGTTTTCTTCACTAAGCCAAAACAGACATTTCAAGTATGGTACATTGAATCACTGATTCCTGGAAATTTGGATGAAACAGGTTTTAATTCTGAAAATAAGTTACTTAAATTACAAAATCTGAAGGTATAACATTATAGACCAAGGTCTTGGCTGTTCAGCATTAATGTACCAGTGTAACCTCCTCGTATTGTATTTCTTTCATAAAATATTTTTTTCAGTTATTACTTTGTTTTTGTCAACACCATCAGACACAATAAAAGGCAAATTCTTTTTTATTTATTTGGTCTAATATGGAGGAATGTTGTGAATGTTGGATGACGGAACATGGCATAATAGTGAATTGAGAGAGAGAGGGAAAGCACACCTCATCCCCTAGGGTTGGACGATATGAGAGAAATATAGGGGGGATTACATCAATAAAAAATACAAAAGAGGTTAATGAAACATCGCAGGTCATAGCGATATTTATTGTGATCAACAATTATATTCTAGCCTCTATTGAGGACCATTTGGAGGTTTTTGTCATCACCGTGAGACAGAAAACCTGACGGTGGTGACGTCTGACGGTGGCGACAAAAACCTACTCTTTCACATGATATGCTTGAGTTGTTCACATTAGCCGCTTTATTTCCCATCTGTTGCTAGCTACTTCAGACCTCTTCGTAAAAAGTATACATTTATGTCATAATCTAATCTAATATTTTTTTTTACAAAAGAGACGGTGTTGACATGTTATGGTTGTGACAGTAGCAGTGTCCAAAAATATGAACAAGTTTAGGAGAAAATAGCAAACTTACAGGAGCTTGAGTGATCTTGAAGCATACAGTAGAGTTGAAGGTTTGAAAATGGGGTCCTCAGGAATGGAGTTGACCTTAATTGTAGTTGCCTGATTTATTGCTTTTTATAAATATCTGATGGTGGTGACGAATATGTGGGACACATTTTGAGCAACCACAGAGTAATAGTAAATATTGTTCAAAACTCACTGTAGCTTTTAATACATATGACAATGTACTCTTTCATGTGGCGAAGATATTATTCAATTCAATTATTACTTTTTGCATTTTTAATTAAGTTGAAATGATTATCCCCTATCTGAGGACAACTGATTTTGTAGGAAATGGGTCAGCATATAATCATTAAATGAATAAAAATAAAAAAATAAGCCTATAAAAGAACCTTACTTATGTGCAAAGGACCCCCTAATTATAACCTTGATTCTTTTTATTCATAAAAATGTTATTAATTTCCAACAGAATGAGCACTTTTCTTAGTGGAACGTGTTTTTGCCAAAGTTTCAAGAATCGGTGGAATGTAACCATGATGTAATTATGACATAAAAACGCAAAGTTGCACCTTTTAGGCTTGTGTATAGGTTTGGACTAGATGATGATTATGTAATAAATACTGCTGCATAAATGCAATAGCTAAATGACTACAGTGTTTTCCAGCTGGGAAAATACGTTGCATCACCTACGACACCGGAAGTTGTAATACGAAAATGAAAAAGAAATCGAAAAGAAAATGTACGGAGGCCCTTAGGTGTCATGGTAGAAAGAAATATCTCGTAGTATTCCGTGCTTTCCAGTTAATAATTGGTAGCCATTTTCCATAATGAATCAAAAGGTCTTTTATGTAACTGAAACCGCAAAAAAAACCAGACAATGCCCACTGTCACTGTTATAATTGTTGGATTGTGAAACCTGTGGCCAATCTGACGTCATCGGTCACGTGACGTTGCATTAACGAAGCGTGTTCCGCCTCCCATCTTCGAGTCGCCGGTTGTTCGGGGAGCTCCGAAGTCTAGGTATTATATCTCATCACTACTTAAATGTAGTTTTTCCGTAAATTTCGCTATATTCCATACAACATACAGGTAAGCAACAGTATATTAAATATAGCAATACACATCTTACCTTTTGTATTTAGTTTGTCGCACACTCGCACTTGTTGGCCGCGTCACTTGATCCGGTGTATGGGAAATTTACGTTTTCGCTTTTCAAACTAACAATATAAGACTGACAGCAGTACAACATGAAGTGTCAATTAACAGCCACGAACTCTCCTGCGACACATAATTGTTTAGGAGCGACAACATGGACCTACGAAAAGTTATTTACTTTATCTTCGTATTTTGCAGTCTGCAAAGCGTCTGCTTTGGATGCGGGTGGATTCAGCACCGATTCAGAACTGTCAACAGCGAATCATTGTCTCTGCTCAAGCGGATGGTAAGTTATCGCCGAGTGTATGTATATGCATTTGTATATTTTATGAAGATATAATGTAGATTTCTCTGTAATTCACTATGTGAAAAGATGTATATAGTTTATTGGATTGCTTGTTTTGCAGGGCGGAGATTATACTACAGACACAGTACCTGTCCGCTTCCCCAGCAAAGCCTATAAATTGGTGCTACATAGTGAAAAGGTATGCCTATATATTTGATCAAACTCAATAACCAGAGGAATTTGTATATGTTTTGGTATTTTACATCGTTACTAGCAGAGGTGTAAAGTTCAGGTCCAGAAAGTACAAATCCAGACCAAGATTTTGTTTCAACAAACCAGTTAAGTTCTCTGTGACTGTGACTCTTTACGCTGACCTGGTTGGTTGAAACAAAATCCTTGTCTGGATTTGTACTCTCTGAATTGAAACTTTCCACCTCTGGTTACTAGAAACTCATACGCTTCTTTTTTTCCTTTACAGACGGATGGGAAAATTGCTTTCTTATCTGACACTATCAATAAAATAAGAGATCTTTTCGGTGAAAATATGGATACTGTCACGTGGAACAAAACAGCGCTGGAACATTTCAAGGATGTTCTTCACCGGCAGTCGCACGAACTGCACAAATGTGTGAGTTTCTTATATGGTTAATGACTACATTTAAAAAAATGTGAATCGTACTTTGTACAAGTCTCCGAAATGTTACTGTGCTTACAGATTTATTTTTGTTTTCAGGTTTCTTCAAACTCTAAGCATGAGTGGAAACTGGAAAGGCACTTCAGGATGCTACACGAGACTGTTTTAAAGGAAATGGTACGTGAGATTATATTACTGTATACTGGGTGGGGGGTCCCAGTGACCATTTACATTGCACTCATGTAGACTGTCCTGATATCTGTCTTGGACATTT